GGGCGGTCGGGCGCCACCGGTCCAGGGCTGGACTTCGCTGCCATCCAGCCTGGGGTGTCTGCACCACAAACGCCAAACTTCTTACCCACCTGAGGATGTAGCGTCTGAACAACCGCCGAGCTGCAGCCCGGGACTCAGCGCCGCGCGCCCGCAAAGCCCAGCAAGGCCCCGCGGGAAGGCTCTGTGCCCGTGTTGGCTCGGTCCCCGCTCCTGCGCCCTGTCCCTGCTCACTGCCCGCTCCGCAGACCACTGGGCTCCGCGACGCCCTGCGCGGTCTGATTCGCTTCCTCGAGGAAGCGGAAAAACCTGGAGGCGGGGAAGGGAGGCGGAAGAGGAGGATTTTTGGAATAAAAAAAGAGAAAGCTGGGGGGGGGGTCGGGTGCGGGGCCAGGCGCGCCGCCAGGGTCGCCCAGACGCTCGGGTGCGCGGCCCAGGCCTAGGAGCCCGCCCGGGGGTGCCTCTTCCTGGAGGGTGGGCGCCCTGCAGTGGGCACCACCTAGGGCACTAGGCAATGGGAAATGAAGAAGGAAGCAAGTTGTCACAGGTCTCATAGGAGGTGAAAGAAAAGATAGGAGCCAGCCAAGGGTGGCCTCTGATCTGGAGAGGCAGGCCCTGCCCGGGAGAAATCTTTGCTCATGGAAAAAAGGAGAAAGCTGTGTTTCGCAAGTCTTTTGCATTTGCATTTGCTCCCGGGCCCAGACCTCTGGCTGGAAGAGTTGGCCTTGGCAGCAGCCGCGCAGGGCTGGCTGGAAGCCCCGGGGCAAGGGGCCCAGGCATTTTCTTTTCCTTTTCACAGGATTGAAAGAGGCCAATCTGATCAGGGAGGAATGGTGGGGGGCACCAGGAAAGAGAAGAAATGGGAGCAGGATTGCTGTGTTTTCTGACATGAGAGAAGCATGCCATTTGTTAATTACCGTTGTTAGGCACAGTGGCTTCTTTCAGACTAATTAGATTCAGGTCCCTGGTGGTTCCTGGGGAGACCACAATTCAATGCTGGAAAGGGGTGGGTTGGGGGGGGCACCCAAATGTCATCTGACCTCATGAAGAATCACAGCTGGACAGAAGTAAAATTGATTAAGCCCTGAAGAGTTTTTTGGAAAAAAGTTTGTGTAGGGGAAGGGATGTGGGCGTAGACTTCTAGAATTTTCCATCTTCCTTTGCATGCATGCTATTTGTTAATGCTTGTGTTGGAACCCATTTGCCAATTAATATTGTATTGCCATTACTAATTTCAGGAGACATTTCTCAAGTGCATAAGTGGGTTTTTGAAGTGTAGAACAAAGAAATTGGCCTTGAAAGCCATAGAAAAAAATATAATAATATTTACTTGGTTTCTAAGTTAATAAGAGGGGCCACAAAATTGAGCTTATGAATGTAAATATGCATGGTGGCCACATTAAAGATGCCCCAAATTTAAGACCAAAAGAAGTCTTGTGAAACATTGCTTTGGGGGATAAACAAATAATTGAAAGTATGCCTTCAAAATCATACCTTCCAAATCACAGGTTTTGTGGGAAAGAAGAATGACTCACACCTGTCTTAAAATTGTGTGACCTGTTTGTCTTCCAACCTGCACACTTTCATGGGTGATAAAGGTGGCATTTTTAAGTACCAATCCTATTACTTCTTTAAATTACTTATCTTTCCTATTCTTTCTTCCCTCCCCTGTCTGTCTCTCTCTCTCTTTCTTCTGACAATTTAGTATGTTGATCTCATGATTGTACAACAGACTATCAGGACTTTGTTTACATTTTTTTCCATTTTTTTGTCTCTTTAAATTTATATTATAGATCTTTTTTCAAGGTATACTGTTCCTGACAGATAGACCTGTGGTACAGAGTAGAAGACATAGAGACTAACTCACAAAATTACAATTATCTTATATTAGACAAAGACACCAAAAACATGTATTAGAGAAAAGATAGCCTCTTTAACAAATGGTGCTGGGAAAACTGGAAATCCATATGCAACAAAATGAAATTAAATATCTATCTCTCACCATGCACAAAACTCAACTCAAAGTGGACCAAGGACCTAGGAATTAAACCAGAAACACTGCACCTATTAGAAGAAAAACTAGGCCCAAATCTCCATCACGTCGGAGTAGGCCGCAGTTTCCTTTATACATCTTGGAAACAAATTTTTAATCCTCACACATCAGATAGAGAATGAATCTCTAGGGTATATAAAGAACTCAAAAGCTAAACACCAAAAAAATAATTAACCCAATCAATAAATGGGTCAAGGACCTGAACAGACACTTCTCAGAAGATGGTATACAATCAAAATGTTCATCATCAATAACAATTAGAGAAATGCAAATCAAAACTACTCTAAGATTTCATCTCACTCTAGTCAGAAAGGCAGCTATTATGAATACAAACAACAATAAGTATTGGTGAGGATGTGGGGGAAAAGGTACACTCATACACTGCTGGTGGGACTGCAAATTGGTGCAGCCAATAGGGAAAGCAGTATGGGGAGATTTCTTGGAAAATTGGGAAGGGAACCACCATTTGACTCAGCTATCCCATTCTTTGGTCTATACCCCAAACACTTAAAAACAGCATGCTACAGGGACACAGCCACATCAATGTTTATAGCAGCACTATTCACAATAGCTAAACTGTGGAACCTACCTAGATGCTCTTCAGTAGATGAATGGATAAAAAAAAATGTGGCATTTATGCACAATGGAATATTACTCAACAATAAAAGAGAATAAAATCATGGCATTTGCAGGTAAATGGATGGAGTTTGGGGTTAGAGAAGATAATGCTAAGTGAAGTTAGCCAATCCCCAAAAACCAAATGCCAAATATTTCCTCTCATATAAGGAGCTGATTCATAGTGGGATAGGGAGGGGGAGCATAGGAGGAACAGACGAACTCTAGATAGGGCAGAGGGTTGGGAGGGGGAAGGAAGGGGGCATGGGGTTATTAATGATGGTGGAATGTGATGGACATTATTATCTAAAGTACAGGTATGAAGACACAAATGGTGTGAATATACTCCGTATACAACCAGAAAAAGAAAAAAAAAAAGATATACTGTTCCCAATTTCAATTTGCTGGTAACTCTATGACAGATATTATACTTTCATGATTCAGGCATTGTTGTTTGACTGCTATTTGCAGCCTCCATGTGTCTCAGTGAGATCCTATATCCATTCATTAAGAACACAATTTTCTTTAAATTCTTGGTCATATTTATAATATTTCTTTTACTACCAGAGTCCATTATTTGTTTCACTTTGGGCTCTCTTTCTGTGGGCTTCATTTTTGTTGTAAGGTTTTTTTTTGTGGTTTTTTGTTTGTTTGTTTGTTTTTTGTTTTTTGACAATGAGTTTCTTAGGATAAGTATTAGATTTTTGTTGTACACAGGACACTGGATAGTACATTAAGGGATTCTGACATTCCTTCCTCCACGAGCACTTATTGTTCTCTGGCAGACATTGAAGGCTTAACACACTTCACTTCTGGAACCTTTGTGTGTACTCGGGTAGGGCAGTCTTCAGAGGCCTGAAGGGGTTAGCAAGCCCCTCTGTCTGGTTCTAGCCTCAGATTCTAGACTCTTTCCTTCGTGGTAGACAGGGATGGAAATCCCTGCTCTGTCCCCTCAGCTGTTGCTTCCTGCTGGTTTTATTCATCTGACCTACACATGTTGATGGATATGATTTGAATCTGTGTCCCCTAAAGCCCAGATGTTAGAGGCTTTGTCCCCAGCCCATGGTGATATTGGGAAGTGGCAGAACATTAGGAAGTGGGATCTAGGATAAGGAAGTTGGATCACTGGGGTTGTGCCCTTGAAAAGGATATTGGGACCTGACCCTCTCCTCTTTCTCTCTTGCTTCTCCACTGCCATGAGTTAAGCTGTTTCTTCTGCCATACTTTCCCACCATAATGTGCTGCTTCACCAAAGGCCCTAAAACAATGAGCCACCTGACTGTGGACCAAAACCTCCCACACTGTAGGCCAAAAGAATCCTTTCCTCTTCTTAAGTTGATTATCTCAAGTATTTTGTTACAGTAATGGAAAGCTCATTAACATACTTGCACAGTTCGACATTCAGCCAAGGATTTGATGTTGTTTATAGGCAAGTAGTGAGTTCTTCCCTCTATCTTTGTCCACTTGAGTCCCTCTGATGACGAGGAACCTGTTCACTGACATCATAGCTCAATAACTATGAACACTTTACTTGAGTTCTAGCTGTCCTAAGACCAAGGACCAGGAGAAAAACAGAAAAATCATAGATTTTATTAGGTCTTGTTGCTTTTCTTTTTTCAATTGTTAGATGCTTTCTAGTTTCTGTCTGCTTTTGATTGATCTCCAGTGCTTTCAAATAAGTTTGTTAGAATTTTTTTTTCTAGCTTATTATTGTTTACTCTGGAGAGTTGTTCCAATATAATCTGATATCATAATTGGAATTCACTAACCCCTAACCTTTTAAATCAATCACTTCCATATAAACCAAAATGTTCAAAAGCACATTTTATTAAACAAAACCAATATCCAAGACACATCTTTGGTTCCAAAAGAGAATGCATTTGTTCTTTAACACCATAATCCTTTAATTTTTGTAAGTAGTCTCTGTGAATGTTTTCTTTCTAAGACGTCCATTTCTTGTGATGTTTCTGTTTATCATGATGGCAGATCCCTTACCTTGAGATCAACTTCCTTAGGCTTATTAATTGCCTTCTAATATTTGTTCTGATGTGTCTATAATGCAATGAGCTGCCAATGCACTTCTACTAATGAAGCCTAGTTGAATTAAATTTGTTGACATATTCATCACTCATGTGTATTTGTGATTAATTGTATTCCAACATTAGTTAATTAGGGTCTGTCTTTCATTGTAGAGCGGAGGAATTATAATTATTAGTATATATTAGATGAACTTTTACTTCCTAACTCAACTCTTTGGTTCAGTGAGTTCTATATGTGAGGGTGAGAAAACTGGAACTCAATGGCTTTTAACCAGAGTGTGTGAAGATGATAACAAGGCCAGAGTAGGGGGTGGAAGGAGAAAGGCATAGTGGGAGTCAGAGTTTGTCCAGCAACTGGAATAATGGCGTGGTGATTTTGTCATCAACCAGTAAAAAGTGAGCCGTGCACAGTTTTCAGTGTTGATCCTCTATGCTATCCTCAAACCTCTCCATCAGGACACACTTTTTTTCCAACCAATAAGCATGAGAAGAACACATGGACAATCGGAAACATTCCCATGTGGGTGCAACTTTAGATAGGAATAGGATGCCAGCAATGATGTGTTTCAGGGTATAGATTCTCCTAATTGCATTCCTCCTCATGAGTGGATTTGACACATGTTGTTATAATGTCACTCATTATCCAAGAAGTGCATAAAAATAGAAATCTTTGTAACAAAATGTGTTTCTCTAGAGCACTGTCTTTCTTTATTTTATGTTGCTACAACAAAATACCTGAGGGTATATACTTCACAAAGAGGTTTCTTTGGCTCGTCATGATGCTGGTGACTAGAATGTCCATAGAGAATGGTGCCAGTATTCTGACAAAGTACCTCTGGTGACATCATAACATGGAAGATTAGCAGAAGGGGAACTGACTGAGTACCAAGAAGCCAAGTTTGTGTTTTATAACAACCCACTCTCCAAGGGGCTAATCTCCTGTGAGATCTGCATTAATC